TCCCTAGTGTTCAGATTAAAGGTGTGCACCACCAAGCTCAGCTTTCATGTCTTTAACATACTGGGTTAAAATATAATTTCTCTGAAAGGCATGGCAGTGCATGCCTGTAATCCTAGCACCTGGAAGGAAAAGACAAGAGAATCAGAAATTTAAAGCCATCTTGATGGCTTTAAAGAATGAATTCTTGGTCAGCCTGAGATGCATGCAGCCTTGTCTCTCTCACACAGAACCTGCACACATTTCTCTTGATTGAGGATTTTGCCCCTTAAATTTTCCACTTAAGACAGCTATCTCATTTGCCATAATCTAGTTCTGACCCCATCCCAGTCATGCTTCTCACAGCCATCTGGCTCCCCAGATCAACCACTGGGGTCTAGAAGAGATGGCCAAGGCTTGCCTATCTTCGTGCCTCTGTGCACCTATCCTTCTCACAGAGGCCAGCACAAGCAGACTCCTGTGTTTAGAGGCCAGATACAGTGCTGCGCACCCATCATCCCAGCACATGAGGCGGGAGGGTGCAGCTTTGTAACAGGGCCCTGAGACCTTAGCACGGCTGACACCATGATGGAAGTGCCATCCAGGCTGTAAAACTCAGCATGTAGACAGCACTACCAGCCACAACCAAAACAAAGGCCTAATCCACCACAGCCCACAGTTCTGGGAAAGTCTCTAAATGTTCTAGCCTGGCTTCCTGCGTCTGTGTTCCTGCTTCTGGCTGAGTGCTCTTGTTGACTGAAGCTTGTCAACCAAGAACACGGTTTTTGTGCTTGAAAGCTCATCCTGAGAAAGGCTCAGTGCTACGCTGGAATCCCCAATACCCAGTGTAGTCGCCGCCAGCTAATAAAGACTTTCTGTTGGCTTAAACTGTCCAGGAGGTCTTCTCTGATGGACACCCCACAACAGCTCGAGGCCAGCTTGAGCTACACACAAAAACCCTGTTTCAAGGCAGCAGCAACGATAACAAAACAATCTCTAATTGAAAGAAGGAAGAAAAAAAGCCACTGACAAGACAGTAGGATTGGAAGGAGCTGTTTATGGCTTGCTGGGGACTAGAGGGTTTGCCGATGTTCTGTATCAGTGTTTCCAGATCACTTTACTGGTCTATGAACACAGTGGTTGAAATAATAATCCCACTTTACAGATGACAAAGCCGAGGCACACAAGAGAACCTGAGATGCTCAGCAGCTATGGCAGAACCAGGAACAGCTCTGACTGGGTTCCTGATGCATTTCTCGCTGTGGCTGTTTCTCCCCTTGAGCACAGGAACAAAAACACTAAGTGAGCAGGTAGCACTTAGAACCATCGCCCTCACGCCGTTTACCCACTCAGTAGCCCCGGCTAGCCTGGACATCACTGGCCAAGTTTTCAGGAGGCCTAAAAAACCTGCTGAGGCCAGGGTAGCGATCCAGGCCCCCCTGTTCCCCTTAGCAAGCTATGGTGCTTTCACACAAATGTGCCCAGATAACGGGGGCCAGCCCCTCTCTGTGCAGGGCAGGGCTCCCTTCCCTCCCCCTCCCCATGCCTGCCACACCCAGAAGTAGCAGTCTGTCTCGGGGCCTGCGCGTGGGAGGAAGAGCCCGGTAAGGGGCAGAGCTGACATCACCAGCTCGCAGAGCTGCCAGGTCTCAGCGGGCTTCACCGGATCTGCCCCTCACTGAGCTTCCTGCACCGCAGCGGGGAAACCCCTTAAGAACACTGGCGTGGGAAGGGAAATGCCCAGCACCCCAAACCAGAGTCAAGATGGCTGAGCAACAGACACAGCCGTGAGGAAGACAACCACACTTACAAGGCTTCTAGAAAGAGGCCAGCTCAGTCCCTGCAGCCTTGAGAAACCCCTAGCCCGTCCTGCACAAGTGCGTGAGGGCAGAAGAGCCATTGTGAGCACTCACGGATTTCAGGAGCGGCACTGCAGGTCTAGAAGGCAGGAAATGTGCCTGGCTTCCCCCTTATCACTTGCAAATATAAACTTATGTGTGGGTGCTTGTGTGGAAAACTTTTCAGGAGTCAATTCTCTTACCATGTAGGATCCGGGGGGCCAAACTCAAGAACCAGAGTGACACTGTTCTTGCACCTGCAGAGCCACGTGGACCCCTCCCACACACGCACACACCCTTCTGAGTTAGGGTCTCATGTAGCTAGCTCACAATGCTTTCACACTTGTTATTTAGCCAAGGTGGCCTCGAACCCCTGACCTTCCTGCTTGGATAAGAGCTGTGTGCTACCATGTTCTGTTACCTAAAGCAGATGCTAAGGGGAGGTCAGGTAGGCAGTGTTTGTTCTGTGCAGTTCGGAGAGGACCCTAGCCGACCCCCAGCCGGCAGAGAACTCCTCAGGGCGTGGTGTTTCAGGAATAGGCCTACAGCCATTGAGGACTTGTGTCACATTTAAAGTCACGGTTAGGCACGCTGGTTCATTCCCTTAATCCCAGAGCTTGAGAGGCTGAGGCACCAGGATTGTTCTGAATTTGAGACCAGCCTTTCTGAAAAAGGAAAAAAAAAAAAAGTGGGGGGGGGATCACGCCTTTAACCCAGCACTGGAGAGGCAGAGGCAGTCAGATTTCTGAGTTTGAGGCCAGCCTGGTCTACAGAGTGAACTCTAAGATAGCCAAGGCTGTGTAAAGAGGCCCTGACTCAAAAGTAACTAGATAAGTAGATAGATAGATGGATAGATAGATGAGAGATAGATAGATAGATAGACAGACAAAGGGCTGGAAAGAGAGCTCAAGACTCACATGGTGAGAAGAGAACTGACTCCTGAAATTTGCCCTCTAACCTCTACACACACACACACACACACACACACACACACCCACTGTAAAAGAGTTGATTGAAGATAATCAAAGTATATTATATATTTAATGAAAACCTTCTGTTTTACACAATTAATAAATGCTAATCAATTTTTTTCTTTCTTTATTTTTCCAGACAGGGTTTCTCTTTCATAGCCCTGGGTGTCCTGGGCTTGCTTTGTAGACCAGGCTGGCCTCAAGCTCGTCGAGATCCGCCTGCCTCTGCCTCCGCTAACCAATTTCTTATTCCAAAAGTGAACTCCTTAAAAACAGCTTCAGAATTGGAGGCACACGGGACTGGCTGGCGCTGCTTCTTGGAAAGCCAAGCACAGTCTCTTCCAAGCTCCAAGGCAGAGTCCGTGGTCTTGAGCCTACCCTGTGGCTGTCCGAGGTCCCTCACCTCAGGTCACGTTGTACCTGACAACGATCGCACACCGCTGAAGGTCAAAGGAAAGGTCAGAGGAAAGGAGATAGGTCAGGCCTGGTCAGGCAGTCTAACACCAAGGAAGGAGAAAAGAGGACAGGGTCCCCTCATTTGTGGCAGGAATGGTGGGATCCCGACCAGGATTGCCGTGAAGGAAGATGTTAAGCCGGAGAGTCTGCAAAGCCCCGAGGCTTGACAGGGACCAGCTCTTTAGACGTTGAACCTTCAATCGGGGTCTCCAGTGTGAAGGGGTGGGGGGATGGGGAACTGGCAGCTTGGTGTGGGGATGTCGCTGTTCCAACAATGCGGGTCACCCCCCTTTCCACTCCTGTCAAGGCTCTGTCCTTCGCCTAAGGGAGCAAGATAAGCCTATCCCTGTGTTCGCTGGCCTTCCCAGAATGCCTCTGGTCCTCTCAGAGCTGCTCAACCAAACCACGGGTTTCAGGTCCTGCCCCGGAGTCTTAGAGACTCAAAACTGCAAATTTATTTTAATATTAACCAGAAGAAGTAGAGATCTTCAGCACTCCATTCCCCCTCCCCTTTGGCTTTAGGAGGCAGAGACCACTATTCGGCTGAAGCTGCCTTTGACCGTGTTGCCTGCAACTTCCAGATCCTCCTGTGCGAACTTCCCAAATGCTGGGATCACAGGCCCCGGTGTCCACCCAGGAAAAAAGCGTCCAAGTTGGGTATGATGGTACACTTCTCAGAACTCAGGAAGTGGAGGCCGGAGGATCAGGAGCCCAAGGCCATCCTCAGGCATACTATGTAGGGAGTTCAAGACTAGCTTTGTTCACAAGAGACTCGAGGAAAAGAAACAAAACCCACGGAGAGGGCTGGAGAGACCCCTCAGCGGTAAAGGGCACTCAACGTGAGGGTCAGGGGTCAGGGTCAGATCCCAGCGCCCCCGAAAGAAGGCGGGAGAGCGCGCCTCACTCCAGCTCTGAGGGACTGCACTCTGGATTGTGGCTGTGTGCTTTCAGGGCCACACGCACATAGATGGATAAACAAAATCCTTCCTTAACACACACACACACACACACACACACACACACACACACACACACACACGGAGCGTTTCCAAGTCAACAGGCATTCATTCGACTCCTGTTCGACTAGGATAAGGACCCGGGAAATTACAGCCGGAATGTAGGCCCAGAGCCCATGAGCAGCCCCTGTCCTGGTGGCAGGAGGATCAGAACCAGAATGTGGGTTTAAGCAATTCGTTTGTTTCCTTTTTCTTTTCTTCCTTTCATTTCCTTCCTTCCTTCCTTCCTTCATTTCTTTCTTTATTTTTTATTATTTGTTTGTTTGTTTAGAGTCACGGTCTCCTACGTAGCTCGGTCTGGCCTGGAACTCAAGATCCCCTGTCTCAGCCTCCCCGAGCTAGGAATTCAGGAGTGAGCTAGGAATTCAGGAAGCCTGTCTCAGAATCTGCATTTCTAACCACTTGGAAGGTGTCCTGCGCGTCCCGTGTCCCGGACACCGAGACTCTCTCTGCAGCGGTGTCCGCCGCCCACCCCCGGGTAGCAGAAGTTCGGTGCGGAGGCCGGGGGATTGCCCGGCTGAGACCAGCGCTGGCCAGGGCAGTTGGATGGCAGGGGAAGTTAATCTCCCCGCACCCGCCGGGACGGAGCCTCGGGGCTCGCCGCCGCCCTGCACGCGGCCTAGGGTGGCGCTGCCCCGCCGGAGCCGCACCCGGCGGACCCGGGCGGGAGCGGCGGCGCTGCACCTGCCGGAGCCGGCCGGGCGCCACCCCCTCAGGACCCGCCCCGGACCCGCCCTCCGGCCGCCCCGTCGGGAAACCGCGGGCAGCTCGGCGGCGGCGGCGGCGGCTGTGCCTCGGCGCGATCGGTAAGCGGCGACGGGGCGCGACCCCGCGGGGCCCGGACCTCGCAGCCGCGGGCTCCTCGGGGACTCCCTGCGCGCGCGCTCCGGGCCCCACCCCACCCCACCCCCGGCCCGCCGTGAAATGAAGGGGCCGGGCCAGACTCGCGGGGACCCCCACCCGGAGGGAGGTTCGGGAAGCCACGGCTCCAGACTCTTCCCCCATGCTCGCCTGGCGCCCGCAGCGCGCCCCCCGGACTGGACCGGCCCGCGCGCCCAGGCTCGGGGGGTCCTTCCTGCCTTGTCACCCCTGAGCCGAAGGCACAGATGAGGGGTGTCCTCGGTGGGGCCCCTCGCAGCGCTGGCTGTGGGTCTGTCCTTGGGCGCTTGGCGCGCCCCGGGGGGTGGGAACGGGGCTCTGCGGTGTGGCGAAGGCAGTGTGACTGTGACTGTGACTGTCACCAACTTCCTGATTCTCGCTCACTTGTTCCGTGCCCCCGCGATGACAAAAAGGAGAATCCTGCTGCTCGGCCGGGGCCAGTCGCCGCGCTGCGGAGCGGGGCTCCTGGCTTGTGTGCACATGGCTGGCCTCAGCTTGCCAGCGAGCTCCGAAGGGCAGCCCTGTCTTAAGCCGCGAGTCCCCTCAGGGCTCCCGGGGAGAGCTCTCAGGCTCCCGGGGAGAGCTCAGCCCACACCCACAGAGGCTGGGCTTCGGGACTCTAGACACACCAAAGCGCCTCCAGGGCTGCGTTCATGGGACCGCGGGCGCGTGCGTTACACAGGCCTCGCTCTCCTCCAGGCGGGGCAGGGCTGAGACAGGCAAATCCATGCGGTGACTAGATGGGGTTTGAAACACACTTCATTCAAATCGTCCACGAGTCACCCGCACCATCCCAGGCGGTCCGGCTCGTCTCTGCCGCGATGCCTTGTGCCTTGGGAACCTAGAGGGCCCGCGAGCAGGGCCCGGCTACCAAAAGGAAGCGTAGAGCATGTGAAACCATCAAGGAAATTGGCTGCGGAGCAATCCCAGCCCACAGCTAGCATTGCCACAGCACAGAGAAGAGTCCAGGAAAGGGGCAGGCGCGCGTGCCTCCGTGAGTTCAGAACTGCCCTAGGCCCGGTCTGTTCACAGAAGAGAAAGCCATTCACAACGAAGGCTGCAGGTGGATGACTCAGCTCTGCCACGTAAACCCCGATTGGGCGGGGAGCAAACGAGGGGGTGCGCGAGCTTTGCTGCGTAAGCTTTAGGAACCAACCCAAGCTGGGTCGTGCTGTGGCAGCCCCAGCGCTCTCCTAGCTGCGTGTCTCTGAGCGGGTGTGCCCTGGAGTTGGCAGGCTGTGTAAGTGAGCACGCGGCTCTGGGTCCAGTCTCCAGCGCTGCGAAGCCTGGGCATGCTGGCCCAGGCCTGTGACCCCAGCACTTGGGGGGTAGAAGCAGGGGAATCCAAAGTTCAAGGTCATCCTTGGCTACACAGCCTGGACTACTCTGTCTCAAAGCAAAAGCAAAAACCAGACAAGACAGAAAACGTAACTTGTGTGAGGTTTTTGTTTGTTTTATTTTTGTCTTTTTGAGGCAGGGTCTCCTTTGTGTAGCCCTGGCTAACCTGGAACTTGCTCTGTAGATCAGGCTGGCCTCTGTAGATCACAGAGATCCTCCTGCCTCTGGCCCCCCCTCCCCGCCCAGCACTGGGATTAAAGGAGTGCAGTGGGACATAACCCCAGCTACTCAGGGGGGACACACAAAGCCCTCAGAAAGGCTGCTCGAGCCTGGGCTCCAAGGCGAGCCTGGTGACGCAGCACCGTGATCACAGGCTGATGGAGGCCTTGTCATCAGTCTCTCGAGTCTTTAATAGGCAAATGTCCGATGATGACAGCGTCGCCCTACACGTCCCCTGCCTGATGGGCACGCTCGACGTCTCCAGCTCTGGGAGTGAAACCGTGCAGGGGCCTGGTGCCAGAAAGGCTGGTCATTCAGCCTCAGCCTGTCTTCTGGAAAAGCCCAAAGCGCCCGTTCTCGGTCGCTGGGACAAGAGGGAGGATTTGAAAGAGCGAGGGGTCAAGTGCAGGGCAGTGCCTGTCTCCGTGTGGGTCTCAATGCTGCAATTGTGCCAGGCGGAACGCGAGCGTGGAAAACAAGGACGGGCTCAGCCAGGGAGAAGAGGGCTTTGAGACCGAGCGTGCCTTCCCAGAGCCCGTGGCGTCAGGTTGTTCTCAGGACCCGGCGGAGGAATGGACACCCTGAGGGTGGAGGCTGGCCCAACAGTCAGAACAAGCATTCTGGATGCAGAATGTTGGGAAATAGGATCTCGGCGTCTGGACTTGTCCTGCATGTATCCCGTGGGAAGGTCCCCCGGGAGAAAGCGTGGTGAGTGAGTGACTTCTGGAACAAGCCGCACACCCGGCTCCCAGGGACAGTGACACACTTCAGTGTAGGAAACCTGCTTTTCTTGTGGTTTTTAGAGACAGGCTCCCTGTAGCCTTGGCTTCTCCATGGAACTGAAGGTGACCTGGACCTCTGTGATTTTGCCTTATCTTACGTGCATGAGTGTTTTCCTTGCCTGTGCTCATGTATGCATACCATGTACATGCCTGGGGCCACGGAGGTCAGAAGACAGCATTAGATCCCATGGGACTGGAGTCATGGATGCTGTGTCCTCTGCAAGAGCTTTTGGGCACTGGCTGTGAACTCCTGTCCTCCAAGAGCTGAGGGCACAGGGGTGGGCCGCCACGTCCTGCTCCAAACACCGACGTGTGTGTGCGTTTTGTTTGGGTTGGATGCCCCCGGGGCCGGAGCCACAGGCCCTGTGATCCCTGAGATGCGGAGGCTGGGAGCTGAACCCCGTTCTCTAAAAGAGCAGTGAGACTCCTAACTGCCGAGCCATCCCTCGGGCCTCAGGAGGCTTCCTGCAGACGAGTCACAGTCAGAACCTAGACTGTCGCTTCGTTTTGCTCCATGAGGCCTTAGGGATGGACGGCCGCGAGGAGCATCTGCTGGGCTAGCTAAGTGCACACAGGAGGCTGGGTACCAGAGCTCTGCCCATCAGAAAGCACAGGTGCCACAGCAGAGCAGGCTGGCGGGCCCTCCACCTCGCCCTCCGGGGCTGCTGAGGCTGCGACAGTTTGGAGTGGAGAGGAAGGACATGTGGACACACACAGCGGGAGGCAGGGCAGAAGCATCAGGGCTTGGGAGTGAGCTTGGCGACCTTGATGCTGAGGAGAGATTGAGAGTAACAGGTCTTGGAGGGGCCAGGAACTAGGGGTGCGGGTGGACACCAGTGCCCCGGAAGCAGCGGGGGCTGCTAACCGGAGCCGGCTGCTTGCGCACCTGGGTGCTGCAGCAGGTGGAAGTTTCCAGCCAGGAGAGAAGAGGTGTCAAAGGTCAGCTCCCCCGTCCTCTGGAGATAGCCCCAGCCGTTAGGACCATCTGTCCCAGGACCCCAGGCTGTCTCTCCCCCTCCCCCCCAGCCAACAGACAACAGAACTCAATTCGGATTCTCTCCAGCCCTGGGAGGTTGGGAGGCCCATGTCCTCATCCCTGGAGTCCTGGGATAAGAGTGGCCCAGCAGGGAGCCTGCAGACAAACCGCAGCTGAACTCCTGTCCAGCTGCCTGTCGCCCTGATCTGCCATGGCTGGGGGCGGGGGGGGGGGGGGGGGCAGCAAAGCTGTAACAAACCCTGATCCTACCACGTAGCGGCGGAGTGATCCTGTCAGGGTTTTGGTAGAAATGGTTGGATAACTTCAGTTCAACATTTTATGTAAATCTAAGATGAGCCTGGCGTGCTGGGGGTCGGGGCATTTGGACGGACCTAACTCTTATCCCACCCTCCTGGGAGAACAAGCCACAGTACTGCAGAGCTGATCTTCAGGAAGAGCCCAAGTGTCCCTGGGTGTACCTCAGGGGACGGGGAGTGGAAGTCCCCACCCCCGGGAACACAGAGGCATCTGAGGGGGAGGGGCGCTTTGGAGACCACTTGGCCTTCTCTTCGGGATATGAGCGCGGGAGGGGTGAGGCCGCTGGGCCCGATGAAGTGTAAAGAGGACAGGTTTTTAGCCAGGCAGGCCTGCAGCACCTCCGCCCTCCAGGATCCCGCCACCAGCTGGTTCCCTCTCCACCTCGGTGTCCATCCCCATTCCTCTGGATCAGAGGACCTCCACCCAAAGCTTTTGAAGAGATTCATAACTGAGCCAATCGCCTTGAGCAAATATCCTGTGGTGATGGCGTGGCAGCGCCCTTCCTGGAGGCCACGTCTCTGCTCTCACCCTGAGGTATGCAGCCTGTTTGATAAACAGAAAGAAACGTTCACAAAGAGGCCACCTGGCCAGCAAGGGCGTGTTCTGGGTAGCTGACCCTGTCTTCCGCACGAGCCAAAAACACCTCACTTGGTACTTTCTGGTTTCAGCATCTTTAAGCATTTGATCCCTGAGTGGGGAGTTGGAGAGAAGGGAATGGCAGGAGGGGGGTGTTAGGAGTGGAAGGGGGGCTCAGAAGAGCCCAGAGCCTCTAGTACCCGCCTTGGGGAGGGAAAAGTGCCAGGGACACAGCAATGGTCAGGAACCTGAAGACCAGACCTGCTTTTGGGAGCCGCTAGACTGCCATCCAGCTCCAGCAGGCCTCACCTATAAAACAGGCTGCTGGGGACCCAGATAGGAGTCTATGAGCAAGCCAGGTGTGACAGCAGAGGGCCACCTGATCCAAATACTTGCAGGAGTCCACTGGGCACCCTGAGGAAATGGGGGTCCAAACCTGACCCCTCTGGCTCCCCCCAAGGATGAGAGGCTCGGTCACCTGCTGCTACAATCTGTACTTTAGACCTTGCAAGTGATACAACTGTAGAAGTGGCATCGCCCTTGGAGTCCAGGAGTCCGGGTCCCTGGCAGGGAGCACAGACACGTCGACACACGGCAGGCTGCGGCGAGAATCGAGAACAAGTAGAGACAGGAGGCCAGAGCTGGGGGTGTGGCTCACGGTAAAAAGCCCTTGCCTGCCACGTAGGAAGCTAGATCTTCAGGACTGAGGAAAGGGAGAAGAGAGGAAGCGAAAGAGACAGGCAGAGAAGGGGAACCAGTTCATTTTGGTTTAGTTTTACGATTTTATATAACCAATTTTTGATATTACTTTACTGAAAACGAGAGGAGATCAGAGAAGACTGCCTGGAAGAGGCCAGCCGTGGGGGTTGGCGTGTGTCACTGAGTCCTAAACGTGTAACTACAAAGAAAAGCGTTGACTAGACCTGGACCTTATGTAAGTGCGGCAGGATAACTCGAAAGCCTCAGGGCAGTTTCACACTCCAGAGAACAGCAGAACAAACAAAAATTGCCTGGAAATGTGACCATTTAAGCTTCCAGCTTACCTTCATCCAGAAATGTAAATTTTGAAGAACACAATTTTAATTTTTATTTTTCACCGCTGCATTTCACTTTTGAGGTGGGTCCTCATGTAGCCCAGGCTGGCTACCAACTCTGTACAGTCACATGACCTTGAGCTTCTGAGCTTCCTGAGTGCTGAGAATGCAGGGGTCACTGTCCCCAACCTACGCAGTGCTGGGAACAGAGCGGAGGGCCCCACTGGCTCCACTGGCCCCACTGGCCTACGTCCCCACTTTCTAAATTTCATACCTAGTAACACTTGTCGTGTTCAGCAGGATGACATGATACTAAAATCTGATCATTCAAAATTCATAAACTAAAAGCAAAAACAAAGTTTTCTAAAGATCCTCGTTAAATCTGTGGCACTTCTAGGCCGGAAGCTTTTAAAGCTGAGCGCTGCTCAGAGACTTGGTAGCTCTGAGCCCAGAAGTCGTAACTGAGAGAAAATCCTGACAGAATAATGCAGTGTAGCGTGGGTTCTGTTTGTCTGTTTCTGCGGAGCTGACGATGGCCCGCGCTGGACAAGCACTCTGAGCGGTGTGCCCAGCATGCCCCCACAGGGTGGGCACTTGGTTTCCCGTCTTCTCTTTCCAGGCAGGGCCTCGATGTATAGCCCTGGCCCAGAACTCACGGTTGGACCGGGATGGTCTGGAAGTCTTAAAGGCCCACTGGCCTTTGTCTCCTGAGTGCTGGGGTTAGAGACATGGGCCACCTCAGCTGACTTTTCGCCCTCCCTTTACCTTGTGTGTACGTCTGTGCAGGGCACGCTTATCTGCTGCCCTTGAAGGCCAGAGAGGGTGTTGCATCCCAGGCCTTCTGAGCCGCCATTCGGATGCAGGGAACAGAGCCTGGTCCTCGGCAAGGGCGGCCAGTGCCCTTCCCTGCTGCCCGCCTCTCCTCAGGGGCCTTCCTACCCCCATATTCTGGCCACTCATAGACTCTTCTCAGGATGGTTTCCACACTCTGAGGCTTCTTTGGGGTGACGGGTTGGAATCAGGATTTGGGTAGACCCTGGGCTCTGCTCGCTAGGGCGCCGAGAGGTGAGTCCACCCTGCCTATCGGAGCCCATTCCATTTGTTCAACCTGGCAAGGCGTCCAGCTGGGGCATGTCTGTGTGTGGATGGATGCCCACTGCCAGCGGGGAGGGCCCTCGAGCCGGCAGACCTGAAGGCCAGGCAGGACGCACAGGCCCGAGTAGTGGGGATATAAGCAGGACGTGGGAGGTAGATCCACAGAGCCCTGAACATGACCAAGTTCTACGTCGGGGGCCAATCCTTTCCCAGGCTGGTGGGGAGCAACCCACTGGGCCTGGCTAACCACCGTTCTGGGCTTTGCTAACCTCTCGGAGTAGGAGCCCTCAGCCCTACTGGTATCCACAGAACTGTACTTCCTGACGGGTGTCTTCCTGCTGCCTGCATGCTGAGCCAGCACGGTGGAGAACAAGCCCCTTCCTGCCAAGTCTAATCACAGGTGTCTCATTTCATTTCAGGATGTGGTTAGAACCTTGAGGAACTGAGGGTTCCAGAGAGAGCGAACGCTTTAGGCGACCAGCTCGGATCCAGAGAGCCGGTGCTCTGGAGAACGTCGGTTTAACCCGAGGTCTCCCTCTCTCCAGAGGAAAGAAAAGGAACACAGGTGTCCGCCTCTCCAAGAGACCACAGGCAGTGCCTGCATGAGGGTGCAGAAGTGACGGGTGACTCCGGGAGGCCTTCCTGGAGGAGGTGAGTCCTGGCCTGGTTCTGGCTAGTCATGCCTTCGTGAGCGTAGTTGTGCCCACTTTCATGGAAAGTGAAGAGAAAGCAGCCCAAGAGCATGGGGTGGCCCAACAGATCCGCCCCGTTCTACAGAGCTCTGCTTGTGCTCCACAGTCCCCTGACTAAGGTCTGGAGACCCCCGGAGCTGGCCCTCAGCCCAGCTCAGCCCTGGAAAAGAGCCTCGCCACACCTGAGCCCTGCCTTTCTGAGCTGCCTGCTACATTTGCTTTCATTAACTTGAACAGGAGTTCCAGAGCATCCCTGGGCAGGAGCTGTCACCCCAGCTCTTCCGCTTGACGCCGTTTCCTTTCCTAAACATGTGTTTTTACTTTATGTGTGTTAATGTCCTGACTGCGTGTACCCCTTATCTGGTGGCCCATGAGGCCGGAAGAGGACATCAGATCTCCTGGGGCTGGACCTAGAGCAGCCATGCGGTGTCATGTGGGAGCCGGGAACTCTTGTTCTTTAAGGGGTTGTCAAGTTTGGTTGGTGCCATCTCTGCTCCAGGGAGGCTCCCGGCATGGCGGCCCCCTGGGTTGGAGCTCCGGGGGCTGAGCAGGACCCTGCTCGCCTCCCCGCCAGCTGCTGCATTCCTCTTCCTGGAAGATCCTTTGCTGTTCCTCATTTCTCGAAGACAGCAGCATCAGGATGGTACTGGGCTTCAGCCCAGGGCAGGCCATCCTCTGCTCCTGTCAGCCCTCCCAGCCTCCCCAGCCTCCTGCGCTGCTGTTCTCTGACTGGCTGTTCCATCTCTGTGTTTGATGGTGCTCTTGGCTTGTGCTCGGCTTGTTCAGACAGCCCCCACGTGAACTTTCACTCGTGTGTGGTGTTTTGGCCTTCCTGCGTTTGCCATTTTTGACATGCTGCTCCTTACACCCAAAGACACCCTGATCTGCTCCCTTCTTGCCGTGTAATCTCTGGGCGCCGACTTCCCTGACTAACTTTGAAGGGATTCCTCCCTTATCTCTGCCTTTCCCGAGTCCTGAAGAGCCCATTTATTTATTTTTATTTCGTGGGAATTGGTGTTTTGTGGGTACGGCTGGGTACCATGTGCACACAATGCCCTCGGAGGCCAGAGGAGGGCGCTGGGTCCCCAGGAACTGGAGTTACGCATGGTTGCCAGCTGCCATGTTTGTGTTGGGAACTGAACCCGGGTCCTCTGCAAGAGCAGCCCGTGCTCCCAACCACTGAGCCGTCTCTCCTGCCTCCAAACAAGGATTTTTTCCATTTGATTTTTGACAATGCTATGGAAGAAAGCATCTGTCTCCCCAGCCCAGCCTGAACCTGCTGGCCATGGAGCCTATGCTAAGCACGTCCTTATCCTGCACGTGAAAGAAACCCCAACAGCAGGCTCCACACAGCAGGACACAGGGGTCGGCAACAGCGCTCACTGTCTCCAGCACGCTCACTTGTTTGTGTCGTCAGTGTAGACTTAGCATGTTCACCGTGTTCTACAAGGAACGGGGGCGGGCGGCCACGATCACTCCAGCAGCCAGAGTCACTTTTGGGCAGAACATACACGGAGTGGAGATGTGACGTTGGCCAAGGGACAGGAGCCTGGGGTCATTTCTGGGAAACCGCACAGGGGTTTATTTCTTTTTCTAGCAATAGAAGCACCTGAGGGCTTAGAAAGTGGCAGGATTCCTGCTGGGGGTCCTGCCTACATCACCCGGCTTAAGCCTCAGCGCAGCCCAGGGCTTGGGTGTTAGTGACGCCGGTTATGGATGAGGAAATAGAGACTTAGAGCAATAAACTAAACCATCCGAGGGGCGCAGGAGGCTGATGATGAAACTAAGGATTTTGAAAACTTAGTGCACAGAGATAAGACTGCCAGGCTTCTGGGGAATGTTTTCTTTGCTCTCTTAATCCTGTAGCAGCTGTGGTGGCAGGTGCCCTTCAGTAAGGCACTGAACCCGCAGCCGCGGCTCCCGCCGCAGCCTGTCAGCCAGTGACGGTGAGACTAGCTGGGCTCCCGTAGAAAGCTCTGCGGCTGCTCATCCACCCTCTGCGCCTCTGGACTGGGGTGCCGGCGGGTATGCAACCCCTGTGCCTAGTCCTGCCTGGAAGGTGTTGTCATGGGATCTTAGATTTAAAACAACAACAAGGAAAAGCATCTGAGTTGGAATTGGTGGCATGTGCTTGTGGGAGTCTCAGCTTGTGACAGCGGGGGCAGGAGAATCACTCCGAGCTATCATGAGCTCCGTAGTGAGACCCTGTCAAAAATAAAGGGACTGCCAGGCAGGGGCGGGGCACACCTTTGATCCCAGCACTGGAGGTCGGGGCAGAGGCAGGTGGAGCTTTGAGTTCCAGGACAGCCAGGGCTACACAGAGAAATCCCGTCTCAAAAAACAAACAGTGCTGGAAAGATGGCTCAGTGGTTAAGAGCTCTGTCTGCTCATCCAGAGGTCCCGAGTTCAATTCCCAGCAACCACATGGTGGCTCACAGCCACCTTTGATGTGATCTGGAGCCCTCTTCTGGCCTGCAGATGCACATAGAACATTCAAAATAAAGAAAATCTTAAAAACAAACACACACACACACACACACACACACACACACACCACATATAGATATAGACAGGTAGATCAATCGATTGATAGACAGTAAATACAGGAGAACCTTGGCCTGGCTAATTCGTGAACGTTCGTGTCTCCTCAGAAACTGGCTGCGCTGCTCTTAGCCTCTTCAGGCTCCACCACTTGCTTACATGCACAAACGGCACCTTCACACGGGCACCTTTACAGTTCTTGGCAGGTAGAGCACACTGTGTCCCTCTGCAGCGTGCCCTTCCATCCCACCGCCCCGGCAGCCGGTCACGGACAGGCGGTTCGTTCCTTTTGCTGCCCGGCGTGGCTGTTCCGCACGTCCCTGTCCTTCAGCCGATAGAGCGCTGCTCTTCACACCAGCACCACTCCAGGCCTTCCCGTCCAGGCCTCCAGGGCCACACAACCCAATTCATCTGACACACGGGGTGGCCCAGGGCGGTGGCACACTCAGGGTGGCCCAGGCATGGTGGCACATGCCTGTAATCCCGGTACACAGGAGGCAGAGGACGCAGGAGTTGAAGGCTAGTCTGGGCTAATTAGTGAAACCCTGTCTCAAAAACCAAAACCACCTAGGCAAAGAGCAGGTGATCTTGGAGTTGTCGCCGGGTTCCACCCTCTGAAGCAGGCTCGGGCCCGTGTGCTCCAGCTGAACCTTATTTGAGCGGCAACCTGTCTCCCAAAGCAGTTTCCTCTGGGCACGAAAGACCCAGACGTTGTTTTCTCCGTTTACAGCAGAAGAAGACTGAGGCTCGGGATGTTGAGTGTATGGAGGTGACCCTGCCGTTCCCGGGCCCCTAGCTCCCTGCCCATCCCTGCGGTGGCTCATTTCTCTCCTGTCCCCTCTTTTTTCCAGGCTGAGGCCCCAAGCGTGGCCACTGTGGCATGTCACACTGTTTCTAAAGTGAGATACGAGACCCGGTGCTGCCCCCCTGGGGATCCGGCTGGGGAGATGAGGTTCCTTCGCCGGCGCCACATGCCCCTGCGCCTCGCCATGCTGGGCAGCGTCTTCATGCTCTTCCTCTTCATGAGGCAGAAGGAGGGGAGCAGCCGGGAGCAGGCGGTGGAGAAGCCGTGGCTGAAGTCCCTGGTGGGCCGGAAGGATCGTGTCCTGGGCCTCATGCTAGGTGCTGTGAACAACATCCGAGACGCCATGCCCAAGCTGCAGATCAGGGCTCCCGAACCCCAACAGGCTCCGGTCTCCACAAACCACTCCTGCCTCCCGGGGTTCTACACCCCTGCTGAGCTGAAGCCCTTCTGGGAACGGCCACCCCAGGACCCCAACAGCCCTGGGGCAGATGGAAAAGCATTTCAGAAGAGAGGATGGACCCCACTAGAGACCCAGGAAAAGGAAGAGGGCTATAAGAAACACTGCTTCAACGCCTTTGCCAGCGACCGCATCTCCTTGCAGAGGTCCCTGGGGCCCGACACCCGGCCTCCCGAGTAAGTAGAGCACTCTGCCTAGTCAGCGGCCAGCCGGCAGGAGGAAAGCTGGGGGCCATTTGAGAACAGACAGGGATTCCTTCCCTGCCTCTTTTCTTTTGCTGGCCCGTGCTCTGATCCCAGGGGCTGAAATCCTGGTGAAAGGGTGTGTGGTGTGTGTGTGTGTGTGTGTGTGTGTGTGTGTGTGTGTGTGTGTGTGTGTGTGTGTGT